GCTGCAGTGCAGTAGCACACTCACAGCCACTGCAGCCTCGACCTGCTGGGCTCAGGCACTCCTTCCACCTGTCTTCCAACCTGGAACTACAGGTATGTGCCACCACACCCAGCTCATTTTTAAAAATGTATTTATTGAGCCGGGCTCAGTGGCTCAGCGGGTAATCCCGCGCCTTTGGGAGGCTGAGGTGAGTGGATGGCCTGAGCCCGCGGGTTCGAGACCCACTTGGGCAGCGAGACCTCATCTCTACAATAAATCAAAAAATTAGCCGGGCGTGGTAGCGCATGCCTGTAATTCCGGCTACTTGGAAGGCTGAGGTAGAAGGATCGCTGGAGCCCAGCAGGTCGAGCACTCCAGTCTGGGCGACAGAGTGAGACTCCAACTCAAAAAAAAAAAAAAAAAAATGTATTTATTGTAGAGGCGAGGTCTCGCCATGGTGCCCAGGCTGGTTTTGAACCTGCGGACTCAGTCAATCCTGTCGCCTCCACCTCCCAAAGTGCTGGGGTGACAGGCATGAGCCACTGTGCCTGGCCAGGTCAGGTGTTTTCAGGGGGAGAAGGGACGCCAGTAACTTTGCTCACATCGGCAAAGCAGCAGAGAGAGGAGACAGTGAGGGTCTGACGTCCATCCGACTAGGTCCAGACACCTGCAATGTGGACGCACTCGAGTGCTCTCATATGGGAGAGCCATGAGAGCGAAACAAGCTGGGAGGGAAGGGCCCAGCAAATGTACAGTGTGCAGTTGGCTCGCTGAGACAGGCCTCCCTCCCATGTGGTCTACGCAGCCCATGGTCTACGCAGCCCGTGGCTCATGGCTGGAGAAGCTCCCTCCGTGGCAGCTCATCTGCAGAAGTTACCAGCTTGAGTGCTGTGAACTGGTGGTCCTGCCAGGGCAGATTTGGGGGATTTCTGCAAGGACTCCAGAGTCTTGACGGGCCACAAAAAAGAGCTTCCTTACTGAGTGACAGCAGGGGACTGAACTTCAGACTGTGAAGAGTACGTGCATTGAAACAAGAATTCCAGAAGTCACAGCCCAACAATATGCAAGACAACCTCAGGGTTTCCCACAACCATCAGCGGGGCCCTGCACTCGCTGGTGGAGTGCAGGAAGCCCAGGCTGGCCTGCGTGTGCGCATGGTGCGAGCCAGCACCCCGTCCCTCCTGAGGCACGTTTGTACTCTGGTCCACTCCTAACAGCTGGCGACGCGCGCCATCTGCTTTTGGCTGCATGCACTGCAAGGAGAGCTATGCTGTGGAACTTAAAGACTGCCTCTGCGTCCAAATGATAAAGAGATGATGTGTCAATCCCCCAAACCATCAGGCTGTTGCAAGAATGTTGAAGCTCAAAATCTTACTTAATACTTTACCTTTCACATGTGTAACACTCGCAGAACTCATTATTTTCTCCAAAAAACCCATCTCCATAATAACAAGAAATCTCTTCTCCAGGTTCAATATCTCTTAGAGCCTTCACACATGCCGTATCTCGACCAGTTGACACAAACTAAAATAAAAGTAACTCATTAAGCATCTCATACCTGAAGCAGAAACAAAATACTTGAGAAATTTTTTTAACGCTTACCTTACAATTAGGTCTGCAATCTGAAAAATGTCCAAAAGATAAAGTCAATTAACTGTTGATAAGATCTGAAACACGAACAATTACAGAAATCTGAAATAAGCTTTCCATGTAACTTTACAACCTTTGAAAGAACTTAGGTTTCAAGTTAAACAAAAGGCATACTTATTTTAATGGATTTATGAAAAACAATTCGTATTTCAAACCCTCCTCTAAAGGAAGACAAAGGTGACCGTGTGGCACTAGCATTAACACTGCAGACGTGAAGCTTACCGTGGTTTATGAACGCAGCCGGGCCCAGCCAGAGTTGAGCACAGTTCTTCCTTGTGGAGTACATGACACTGAAGTCGTTTTCTCCATGTCTAAGCAGCATGTTCTCCTCAATTTCTGAAAGTTCGGCAATACAACCCACCAGTAATTCTATTTTGTCATTTCGTTTCCTATTTAAAATATGTGATGTGTTAAAAATCACTAGTGACCGTACATAATAATGCTGCTTCTAATAAAGTAACCCTGACCAATAAATACTAGAGACTGAGAAGCCCCAGCTATCTCTGTTTCAGGACACGCCATCTGCTGGTGCCTCGTCCCAGGGTTACTTGTGCATCTGTCTTATCTGTACAAGGGGGACCCCTCCAGAATAGGAGCTTTGCTACCTACGTCTCGGAATCCCCTGCAGCTCCTCGTGTTGTGCTTTTCAGGCAGGAAGCACTCAAATATTTACTGCACTGAATTGAACTTTTTTTTTTTTGAGGTGAAGCCTCATTCTGTCGCCCAAGCTGGAGTGCAGTGGCATGCTCATGGCCACCCCAGCATCGACCTGCTGGGCTCCAGTGATCCTTTGGTCTCAGCCTTCCAAGTAGCCGGAACTACAGGTGTGCGCCACCACGTCTGGCTAATTTTTGGTTTATTGTAGAGACGAGGTCTCGCCAGGTTCCCTGGGCTGGTCTCAAATCTACAGGCTCAGGCAATCCCCTCACCTCAGCCTCCCAAAGTGCTGGGATGACAGGCTTGAGCCACCACGCCCAGCCAGAACTGAACTTTCTGACTGCTGGATGAAGCGGACAGGGACAGAGACAGCAAAGGACCATGCAGACCCAGGGCCGTGATGCTGTCCTTTAGAGCACACCACCCGTTATGAATGCAATGTAAGCCAAATTTGCGATCTTACATTTTTCTAGCAGCCACACTGAGAAAATAAGGACAAAACAGGTGAAATTATTATTATTATTTTGTTAAAGAAGGCAGGATTTATTGAGAGGACAGAAAAAGCTCCCACAGCGGGAGGGGACCTGAGGGGGCTGCCTGTGAAATTACTTCTAACAATATATTTTAACCCAATATCCAAATTACAGTTTCAGCAGTGAATAAATTAAGTAACTCTTAGTGAGAAAAACAATTTAATATAAAACCTGGTGGGTAGATCACATTCCAGCACTTCTTGATTCGGACCAGCCATACACAGTTCAAGGACCGACGTGGCTACCCTAAGCCAGGCAGTGCCAGAGGCCAGATCTCAAAGCCACATGTCCATCGACAACACAGGGCGGCAGGGGTCCAATGAACAGGCCCGACGCCGCCCGAGCACACAGCCCACACACAGGCGCACACACCACTGAGGGTCCAGAAACACGGTTCCCTTGCCCATGTCATCTTCAGGTACCTGACCCTAAGTGCTTGTATAAGAAATGTTGGGGGGTGGGCATATGAGAGGGCTACATGTTTCCTCTGGGAGATAAGGTAGGGAGGAGCATTACAGGAAAGCAGATTGGACCACATCTCCCCTTTCAGCTGTGGCTTTGCCCTCCTCACTGGGTTACACGGTACTACCTCTATCTAAGCTGGCATACACATACAACAGGTAATGCATTCGGACATTTCCACCTATAAAACCTCTAGGATCTTTGAGACTTCACTCCCAACCTTTCTTCTTTCTTGCAACACACCCTGACGTCCTAACCAGCCACATCAAATTGCTCTTTGACAGCTGTATCCAGAGAACAAGAAGTGTGCCAAGAGTGTGACGCTGGCAGTGAAATGGCTGTCAGTGATGATGCAGACAGAAGAGCTGCTGGGGCCGAACCGCAGAAGGCTTCTCCCGTCAGATTAGCCATGCAGACTCCAGGGCATCACACCGTCAGGCAAGGGCTAACACTTTCTTCTAGTAGAAGACTGACTCTGGAAACCAGGTTATTTAGTCCCTGGCATTCTGAACCGTCCAGCAGTCTTATAATTGAGGTCCAATAAAGGGAAAACAAAAAGCACTTTGGCCTAGAGATGGGGTCTGGCTCAAGAGAGACAGAAACTTCCCTATCCAGACTCCCGTGGGTAGGCTAAAGAAATGGCAATGCACTGGCTCCTTGAGGGTAGATTCTGGTTTATTCCTTACCCTGAATTTCTTAGCACTTCAACAGTAATTTAAGAGAGATTGTTAAACCAGATTACTTTAAGGGTTCATACTAGTATAATATTTACCACTCTTTTGTTGCAACTATTTTGGCTCCATTTTGTTCTGATGAGTATCTATTACATGGCAATATCTCAAATCCACTGTCAGTTGCAAACATTCTCAAGTAAATAAATACCTAAAACAGAAAAAGAAAAATGGTGACTTTAATTATCCTGCTAGACTTTTTCAGAATTACGAAAGCAAACCACCAGCAACAATAAAAAAATATATAAGATCATTAAGCAACAAACTTTGCTGTTACTTTAAAGTTTCATATATAGGTTGAGTAACCCTTATTCAAAATGCTTGGGAACAGAAGTATTCTGGAAACTGGATTTTTTTCCAAATTTGAAATATGTGCATTATACTTATCAACTGAGCATCCCTAATCCAAAAACTTCCAATGAGTACTTCCTCTGAGTATCATGTTGGTGCTCAAAAGGTTTCAGATTTTGGAGCATTCTGGATTTTGACTTTCTGGAATATGTACCTGATGGCTTAGTTTCTCTAAAAGTTCACAATGAATTTCACTTCTAGGCGGGTGCAGCGGCTCATGCCTGTAATCCCAGCACTTTGGGAGGTCAAGGCAAGAGGATTGTGTGAGCCCAGGAGTTCAAGGCCAGTCTGGGCAATATGAAGAGACCTCGATTCTACAATAAATCCAAAAATTAGTCAGGCTTGGTGGCGCATGTTTGTAGTCCCAGCTACTTGGAAGGCTGAGGTGAAAGGATTGCCTGAGCCCAGCAGCTCGAGGCAGCAGCGGCCATGAGTGTGCCATTGTACTCTAGCCTGGGCGACAAAGTGAGACCCCAACTCAAAAAAAGAATTTACTTCTAGATGATAAAGTTTTCACTTTGGATAGTCATCCAAATGATCGCACCTGTTACAAAATATTCATATGGACTAGTTTTATTAAAAACCAATTTAAGGCTGAGGTGAGTGGATTGCCTGAGCCCGCGGATTCGAGACCCGCCTGGGCAACTTGGTGAGACATCATCTCTACAATAAATCAAACAATTAGCCGGACGTGGTAGTGCATGTCTGTAGTTCCAGCTACTTGGAAGGCTGAGGTGGAAGGATTGCCGGAGCCCAGCAGGTCGAGGGTGCGGTGGCTGGGAGTGGCCATTGCACTCCAGTCTGGGCGACAGAGTGAGACTCCAACTCAAAAAAATAAAAAAAACAAAAAAACCAATTTAAGCCGGGCTCGGTGGCTCAACCTGTAATCCCAGCGCTTTGGGGGGCTGAGGTGAGTAGACTGCCTGAGCCCATGGGTTCGAGACCCACCTGGGCAACTTGGTGAGACCTCATCTCTACAATAAAATCAAAAATTAGCCGGGGGTGGGCCTGTAGTTCCAGCTACTTGGAAGGCTGAGGAGTAAGGATCGCTGGAGCCCAGCAAGTCAAGGCTGTGGTGGCTGGGAACGTGCCACTGCACTCCAGTCTGGGTGACAGAGTGAGACTCCAAAAAAGGAAAAAAAAACCAACTTAAAATTTCAGTGCTAACATTTAGGCTTTTAGCTTAGTACCCTTATTCAAGCAGGTTAACAGCATCACTCTCCTTAATAAACTTACATGTTCCTTGAATAATTTCTCCTGCATTTTGTTCTTGTTGAGAAAATAGTGCCGTGCCCATTCACCTGAAGTCAAACATTTGAAAGCTTTCTCCAAGTGTTCATCTTTCTTAAAACGTTCAATTACTTCCTTTAATTCTTCTTGCCTTCCTTTAATAGGCCGAAATCTGAAAGAAATCAAAACAGTAAGTTATCTGCCACAATGCTAGATGGGCCACTGATCCATCTTAATGAGATCTTGAGAAAGAGCTAATAGCCTAAAAATAGCCATGGTTATCAGAGCAAAAATCTAACAAAAGAGAACAATCAATCAATAATCCTGATTGTTACTATTCAAGTAATGTTGGTCACCTGGACATATAAGTCCTCTCTCTTGAAACTGCATGTGAATATATTCATTTCAGTGTTAATTTGTTAACTGAGAGATGAGTTGATGATTCAAACAAGAGCTGTCTGTTTCAAGCTTACTCTATTTCGGAAGGTACAAAATCAAAGACCCAGAATACAGTACTCCGACTGCGAGGCAGAATGACAAGAATTTTTTAAAACATGCAAAATCAAGCTGGAAGAATGCAAGGCAATGAACTGCAGAAGATGATGCAGACAAAATCATGCCATAAACAAAAGCCTTCTCCCTGTACACGGTGAGAAAAACCCCAAACTAGTATGCCAACAGGTCTTGCAATGCACCTTGATGTCTTAACCAGCCACGCCAAACTGCTCTTTAGTAGCTGCATCCGGAGAACAAGAAGCGTGCAAGAGTGTGATGCTGGCAGTGAAGTGGCTGTTAATGACGATGCAGAAAAGCGGTCGGGGCCGAACTGCAGAAGGCTTCTCCTGTCAGATCGGCCATGCAGACTCCAGGGCATCACACCATCCGGCAAGGGCTAACACAGAATACAGTCATGTCTGCACGAGACAGACTTGTGACCCCTTCATTCTAAAACTGTGATCTCAGCAAATCATGGGTACTATGATTAAAGGTACACAGATCTTAGTTTCAAAATTTCTTCTCATGTCAATTTTATGTGACTAATTTTCCCAAATAGTTTTTATTTTTAAAAGCAAAACTCCTGGTCGGGCACAGTGGCTAACACCTACAACCCAGCACTTTGGGAGGCCGAGGCGAGAGGATTGCCTGAGCCCACGGGTTTGAGACCAGCCCGGGCAACTTGGTGAGACTTTGTCTCTACAATAAAAAAATAACAAAATTAGTGGGGCATGGTGGCACATGCCTATAGTTCCAGCTACTTGGAAGGCTAAAGTGGAAGGATTGCCTGAACCCAGGGTGACAGAGTAAAACTCCCACTCAAAAACAACAACAACAGCCGGGTTCGGTGGCTCAACCTGTAATCCCGTGCCTTTGGGAGGCTGAGGTGAGTGGACTGCCTGAGCCCACGGGTTCGAGACCCGCCTGGGCAACTTGGCGAGACCTCATCTCTACAATAAATTAAAAAAACTAGCCGGGCGTGGTAGCGCACACCTGTAGTTCCAGTTACTTGGAAGGCTGAGGCGGAAGGATCGCCGGAGACCAGTGGGTCGAGACTGCAGTGGCCAGGAGCAACCACTGCACTCCAGTCTGGGCGACAGAGTGAAACTTCAACTCAAAACAAAACAAAACAAAAACAAACAAAAGTCAAATAAACAAAAAAACTTCAAAAGTTCCAACAGGAAAAGGAATCACAGATTGTTGTTCAAATAAAATACACTGTGAAAAAATAATGGCAGCTCAGAAGAAAAAAAATTGAACTATGACTGCACATCTCATAAACTTGAAAATGCTAAAATTGAGGAAAGATCTAACACAGACTCCAGCAAAGGAAGCATTCACCAGAATTTGTATTTCCTAGGTAAGCTATCACGAATGTATTCTTGATACTTCAGTAAGACTTTAAGCCACAATATTTGTTTATTAGGTGCTATGTATGTACACAGTCGCATGTAAAGTGCTATGAAAACTATAAGAGACAGAAGACATGGCTACTGCTCTCAGTGGAAAGCTTAATTGGGAATAAAAGACATATACATGCACCAAACAGTTAAACAAGGCATCAGTCCACAAATGCATGCCAATATGGTAAAAGCAGCATTGCTACAGCACCTAAAAAGATTAGCAGTTACAACCAAGGGACAAGGTTTATTTGGGAAGGGTTTAGGAAAAACACAACACTATAGGCAGGAAAGAATCACAAGGAAGGCAGAACGAGAGGAAATCTAAGCAGAGGAGCTTAGTGAGGCTGGATTCCAACAGTTGGCCAGAGTCAGCTACTAGCAATAGTAAAGGAAAGTACTAGAACCAGGAAGAGGGAGGACGTGGGTCCAGAACAGGTCTGGCCCTGTTTTCTGGACAGGAACTCCAGAACACTTCAGAAACATTCATGCACACTGACACCACTTAGGAATTTACTAGCTATGGACGCTAGTTTCAGTAACTCTGAACTTTTCCGACTATTAAAGCAGAACTAGCCTTGGAGTTCAAACACATCCTAGAGATAATCAAAGGAAGAATGAGTGAGGCTCTCTTTCCTTGTCCATTTTCAACCAACTAGTATACAAGCCTTCACAGGCAGATGAATACACGTCCTTTAAACTATTCAGAATGTCTTTAGGTTGTCAGAATACGGTGTTGAACAAAGGCCACTGAGGACTTTACACAAAAATGAAGTAATTTTCTATTAGTGTTCAACAGAAACGTACCCTCTCTCTTCTGAACCATAACCACTCTCAAATCTCCCAAGCAAACTGCATAAAGTGATCCTCATACTGTGGCACTTAAAACTAGGAAAAAGCGTGTAGATCCCCTAACAACAGCCCTATTGTCCCACCAGCAAGAAAAGTAAGGCCCAGCAAGGCCAAGACGTCTGCCAAGGACGCAGAGCTAATGATCGAAGGAGCCAGAGCTCACCCAGCTGAGGCCGTGCCAGCTCATCCCCCTATCCAGGAGCCCCTCCTTGTGTCTCCATCGCCTGGCACAGGAGAGCCCCCTCGTGTTACCTCCCGGTTAGGAGGGGTCTGATTTGTGTTTGCTGCTGAGTGCTGGCATGGGCCCAGTCAGAGACAGCTCTACCTGCCGTGATGACAAGGCACGAAAGGGACAGAAACACAAGTTTGTTTTCGCTTTTGTTTTTGGAGAAAGCTGGATTTACTGAAAGGGCAGAAGAGCTCCCAGTGTGGGAGGGGACTCAAGAGAGGTGCCCACGAGTTTTTAAATGTAGTATGTAGGGAGGCAAGAAAAACAGGGAGTTGGCATTCCCAAATAGTTCCCCCCCCCCCTTTACGCGAAATTTGCCACTTCAAATAAACCAAAATATTTCTTTTTCTCTCCCCATACTTGTGGTCAATGGCTAGCATGAGAGATAAAACACATGTCACTTACAATCATCTATTATTAAGAGGGGTAGAAAACAACATATGAAGTCATACTCCCACACACCTGTTCCCCACTCTTTCCAGAGACTGACTTCCCTGGCTCTCTTGCTACTGGGCTTTTCTGTCTCCAAACCCAAGACAGCACTGTGGCAACCAAGTAAAGTGAAGGTTTGGGTGAGCTGTACTATCGTGCCCTTCCCCGAGCACGTATAGCCAAGGGCTGACTGGGGGACGGTGCGAGGAGCAAAAACAGGAGAGAGGAAGAGAGAAACGCACAACATTTCATACATAAAATGAGACCAGGAGGCAACACACGAACACAGTCCCTGCTCTGAAGAGAGCGCAGCTGTAACTGACAGTTGGAGACGCAGAGCAGGAGTCCCGAAGCACCGCTCGCCGTCCTTCTGGACCTGAAAGCAAACAAGCACCAAGACCCACTTGGCTGAGTCTGGCCACCAGTGTGCTCAGCTAGTCCCGGGGAGTGACTCCTGGTCTGCTGACGAACGATTTCTCTTAAAATTACCCTGTTATGAGGTACAAGCGGTTTTTAAAAAAACATGACCATTACCGAGCTATTTTAAAAGGTTCGCAAAATGTTCCCAAACTCACATTTATGCTGGCACCTCGGATACTTAACATAAAAGAACATGATCAAGGCTGTAACCGGTTAGTTGACGTCTTAGTACCGTTCAGAAGCACGCTACCTACCTCACAGGGTTGTTGTGAGGAAAACTGTCAGATTTTGAAAAATGCCTTGAGCTCCTCGAAGGAAAGGCGCTATATAAATGCAAAAACAAACAACAATAAAAAAACTATTTGGATGACTTGTCATTTCTAAACACACTTACAATATTCGTTCTTGCAAAAATCCTTAAACTCTGGTATTTCAGAACTTTCTGAAGCCACAGGCTTGGTGGCACAAAAGCCAGGCTGCTAAAACGCCTTCCTTTCTGTGTGACACAGTCTTACTACTGATTGAATTAAACGGTTGATAAGAATTTCATTATGTAGTCCAGTCAAGCATCTAATTTTAAAGTGACTTCTATGTTCACATTCAAAGGTGGATGCGGATACGAACAACAGGTACATAAGTAAAATAACAATTACATGCTATGGCAGTGGAAGATGAGTACGGGCCAGCCAGGCTGTCGTTCAGGTCAGAAAACCAAGAGAAGCACCACAGAGGCGCCCTCAGATGACTCCTCAGGCACAAACACCCCTTCCCACCCAGCCCCTGGCTCGCCCGAGCCCACTGGGCTCCGTGAAGCCTCAGGGTCACATCACTTCCAGGGGAACAGTACTTAAAGCAGCCAGCCCTTCTCTGCAAAACGACCTGCATCCTCTCCCTGTTTACACTTCAGGGCCAACGACTCTATTCTCTTGCTAAGAGTTCAACGTTAATACCTAGAGAAGTCAATCACATCCAGATATTCCCCAATACACTGACATTACTAATTTGTTTACACTATTTCTAAGTATCCATGCTACAACTCTGACTTAAGTCCTTTTAGTAAATATAGAGATATAGTAAGATTAAAACACAAGTACTCAGAAGATAGCCAGTTTTGGAAATGCTTACATCAGCAAGCATCTACTGTTTCTAAACATTCTTCCTGGTGGGAAACTGAAAGAAGGAGAAGGCAGGCGGGCAAAAGGGTATAAAAAAGAGAAACTGAAAAGTGACAGCCAAATTACAGACACATAACCACTAACAAAGAGACCACTTTTACAAGTAACATGCAGACGGCTCAGACAATTACGATCCAAGCTCCACTGCATCTTCCAGTGGCTTCTTTTGCACCCAAGAGAGGGAAGTCCGTAAGTGAACAATTTAAGAAGTATTCACTGGTCATCTACTACACCAGTCAAATACTATGGGTTCTCCGTATTTTCTATAAAACAATATCTCTGAAAATTCCTTAAGTCAACATTCTGGTAAATTCTTGCTGAAAAGATGAAGATCTAGAAGGGATAGTTTTACTTTCAAGTAAATCCACAAAGATTGAATGAAAATATAAATCTTTCACTAAGATTAATAAGCTTCATTAATAAAATTTGTGTGAGCTGGGCTCGGTGGCTCAGTCTGTAATCCCGCGCTTTGGGAGGCTGAGGTGAGTAGATTGCCTGAGCCCACGGGTTTGAGATCCACCTGGGCAACTTGGCGAGACCTCATCTCTACAATAAAAAAAAAAAATTAGCTGGGTGTGGTAGCGCACGCCTGTAGTTCTAGCTACTTGGAAGGCTGAGGTGGAAGGATCGCTGGAGCCCAGCAGGTGGAGGCCGCGGTGGCCAGGAGCGGCCACTGCACTCCAGTCTGGGCGACGGAGTGAGACTCCAACTCAAAAATAAACAAATAAATAAATAAAATTTGTGTGTTGCTAAATGCCACCATACAAGAGAGTCTGCAAAAACACACGTGAACTGAACACTGTGGCAGGAAGAGGAGAGGACATCACCTGTACAGCCACCCTGGCCTGAAGGGCTGGCATAGCCTAGAAACCTGCACTCAACAGGAAGCAGGACCGTCCACACCACACAGGCTATTTCAGAAACTTCATGAATGAATTAAATGCTGCACTAAAAAAAAAAAAAAAAAAAAAGTGTTTTCTCCTGCAAGTTTAACTTGTTTAACCAGCTTTAATTTTAGATGCTTTAATTTCTATGGGGAATAAATTGTATGTACTGAATATATTTTAACTTAGGAGTCCTCAGATGTAGTGATATCTTGTTTGTTGGCTTGTTTCTTTCTTTTGGTGTTGGAGTCTCACTCTGTCGCCCAGGCTGGAGTACAGTGGCAGGCTCATGGCCACCGCAGCCTCAACCTGCTGGGTTCAGGTGATCCTTCCACCAAAGTCTTCCAAGGAACTGGAACCATAAGCACATACTACACCTGGCTGATTTTTAAAAATTTATCGAGGCCTCGCCAAGTTGCCTAGGCTGGTCTCGAAACCCTGGGCTCAAGCAATCCTCTCACCTCTGCCTCCCAAAGTGCTGGGATTATAGGCGTGAGCCACTGCGCCGTCAATAAGGAATTTTTATGTACTGATCACATCACAATGAAACTCCAAGGCTAGATGGCTTGGGACCTTGCTATTCCAAGTGTGGGTTGGGAGCTTGTTAGAAATGCAGAATCTCAGGTACCATTCCAAAGCTCCTGAATCAGGACCTGCACCTTCGTGAGATTTCCAGGTGACTCCCATGTCAACTCACTACGAGAAGCAGTGGTCTAGGTGGTCCTTTATAGGACACTGGAGTTTTTCCTATTGTAGATGTCAATAACAGGTAACCCCTCATCCTGACAGCATGGGGGCTTTGGAACACAGGAAGAGATTTCTCAAGTCACTAAAACTTCCACAGCAATTTTGATCTAACACTTTCTTTTTATTTTATTTGGGTAGGAGTCTCTTGTCGCCCAGGCTGAAGAGCAGCAGCCACTGCAGCCTCAACTGGCCGGGCTCAGGCGATCTTTCCGCCTCAGCCTTCCAAGTAGTTGGAACTATAGGTGCATGCTACTATGCCTGGCTTATTTTTTGATTTATTGTAAAGATTAGGTCTCACCAAGTTACCCAGGCTGTCTTGAATCCCTGAGCTTAGGCAATCCTCTTGCCTTGGCCTCCCAAAGAGCTGGGATTACAAGCTTGAGCTACTGAGCCTGGCGTTTGATCTAACACTTTCTAAGATGTTTTATATATGCTTTCATAGCTCAGTATACATGGCATAATCAATTCAACTTTCTTGAAAACCTCAGATTAAAATTCAGGGCATTTAGGGTGACAGCCTGAACGCTACTAGACTACTATACCAGGCAGTGATTCATACATTCACATTTCTTAACTCAGCAAAACAAAACAAAACAAAGCAAAACAAAAACGGAGGGAGCTACAGGGTGACTTCAAAGCTACTGGAATCTTCTAGGAGAATTAGCACTGGTCTCGTGTTCAAGGGGAAATAAAGGGCAATGGATTAAAATAATGCAAACTAGGCCTTAGTCTGACATCAGGACATTCAATCTTGCTGACTTTCCAGAGAACAGCCAGCCCTCTAACAGGGAGCTATTTAAATAATCTCCCAACTGCATCCCAACGTCTCACACTTCATTTTACCATGTAAAGATATGTAACAGAAAATTACATGAAAATACCAAAGGCACATTTGCACCTGAATTACTTCCTTTGGACTTAGAATATAACTGATAAGTGAAAAAAATAGCACCTTAACTCCAGCAAGGGATACAATTCAAAAGCGACTAAAAAGAACACGAAGGCTTTCCTCCAATCATCTTACTCACCAATTCCGACCCCCTCCCACTAACGACCAGTGACCACCCGCTGGTTACCAAGCTCCCCTGAGGTGCCAATGACACGGGCTACGAAGCCCCAGTGCCTCGTAGCCCCAGTGCCGGTGTGGCAGAGATGAGTAATAGGCCCAGAGCTCACGCCTCTCTACTATACCCAGAAACCCTCTGCTATGGACGTCAAGAGACAGGACAAGCTGCAAAGCTCTGACCTCCTGTGTGGTGGCAGAAATAAGTACGAGATGATCTAATGGCCTTTTTTGAGGGAAAAATGACATGGATGACATTTCAGAGAATTAAAGAGACAGAGACCTCAGCTACCAAAAGGACAGCAGACTTCAAGAGTAATGCAATAACATTTTACACATATAGCATTTGATACTTTGTAAAACACATACCTATTTTCTTACCTGCATACTGAGTATAAACATATCTTTAAAAATAGTCACTTATAACAATTAGCTGAATCTCAAAGATTCAACATGACAAAATTCCCCATGTATACAGTAGCGATTATTTAAAAGAAAAAAAGTCTTTAATAAAATCATGAAAAAAGGGATGCAGCCTACTTTAAGCAGGAAATAACCACACATTTTCAAGGTACAGGATGCTTGACCAACGTTTCTTTTAGCTAAGATAATTATCATTTAAAATAGCATATAAAGATGCTCCTCCAGCTTACATTTTAATAGAAATGTTCTGAGGGAAAATAAGAACACAGAATTAGAACTGACACGACTCTTAGAGGTTCTGCTCGTTTCTTGGCTCACATACAGAAAACCCTTCTGTAGCAAAGAACTTTCCTTTAATGTCATTTTAAATTTTGAGCAAAGGCAAAATTAGTCATCTATTTTCTTAAATTCGACAACATCATCTGGCTCCATTCAGGATAAAGACTTGGAATTACCTAGTATTCATCTTGTGTGTTTGGAAACCTAAATAGGGATCAAGAACCAAGCTGGTTGCTAGGTCGTCATTTTCACAGAGCTCCTTGGCGGACATCCCAGAAGATGGCACATAGCGACTCTGCCCTTCGAATCCTGAGTTGCCATTACCTGCAAAAAGCAGAAGAAAGGAAAATAACTCCAACTGAAAACTACTGAAATCTATCTTAAAAATCTTTAGCCTCACTGTCCATCAAACTAGTGATCAAGACTTTAAAAACGACTTACTTCAACCAGTTTTAGTAATTCAGAAGAGAAGTGAGTACCCTCTGCATAAACAGGAAACCAAATGCAATGAACTACCTCAATAACGGGAGTATTTTGGTTAGCAGAGAACATCAGGTTCCCAAGAATGGGGTCCAGGTAGCTGGGAGCATCTTTGGTTCCGATGCTGTACTCTCCCCTCCCTCCAAGGAACACTGAGAAGCGGATGGGAGGATGGTCCTTATTTTAACAAGACAGCATACAGGGCCGTTACAGATGGGGCTGGGCGAGAAGAAAACAAGAGGAACACAAGAACGTTTCGGCAGGAAGTGGCGGAACTGCAGACCCCAGAACCAAAAGGAATCTTGAGGAGTTAAGCTCAGCTTCCTGCCTTTGAGCAGATGAGTGGTTATTATCCCCACTAGGCAGGCAGTGGAGGCCCAGAGGTTAAGAAACCTGTCTATGATTTCAGAGCTGGGTCGCAGAGGTAGGGAAAGAAGTAGAGAGAGAAGGATAGGCCTATCTCTAACTGACCTTTGCCCGAAACAATTTTGAATGAATGAGTAAAAATAGGGACTGAAATATTTAACTGAAATAATTGGGTTTAACTCTGGAAGAAAAGCAACGTAAGAAGGAAAAGGCCAAATTCATCTGGATGAGGTTTCAGCACAGATGATTAAGTCTGATGTAGATACATCACTGACACTCTTTTCATGGAATCAGCACATAAAATTTACAGAGGACAACAGTAGTGTAGCTTTCCGGCTCTCAAAATCAAAACTTGGAAGAATGAGAGGCACAGAGTTATAATCTTCTTTCCATTCACTCTTTCACAAAACAAAATAAACCTTACAATGTAAGTTCCTGCCAAGGGTAGATATGTGCTTCTGCAATCAAATTATTTGCATGTAGGTAGGTGAAAAGCTATCAAGGTTGGTACATCTTCTATAACCACTTTATAGAAATAAAATTCACCCACTTAAAGTGTACAATTCAATGGTTTTTAACATACCCAGAGTTGTTCCACTTTCACCCCTAAAAGAAGCCCTGCATTCTGCATTCACTCGCGGGCCCTGCTTCTCTTCCCTGCAGCACAGCCCTGAAGCCATGCATCCACTTTCTGTCTCCGTGGATTTGCCTATTCTGGAAATTTCATATGGATAAAATCGTACAGTATGTGCCCTTCTGCGATTGGCTCCTTTCAATTCACATAACATTTCAGGTTCATCTGTGCGTACCATGCACTAGTACTTCACAGCTCATTGTGGCCAAAGAACATCCCCTCGTGTGGATACACACCATGTTCTGCTTATTCATTCATCTGTCGGCGGACCTCTGAGCTGTTTCCACTTTCTAGCTATTACGAATAATGCTGCCATGAACACTTGTGTCAAAGTTATGGTGCATACATACATATTCAATTATCTTAGATATATACCCAGGAGTGGAATTGCTGGGTTATGTGGTAACTCGAGGTTTAGCTGCTGAGGAACTGCCAGACTGCTTATTAAAGTAGCTGTACCAGTCTACATGCCCACCAGCAGTGTATGAGCATTCCAAATTCTCCATATCCTCGTCAATGCTTCTTTTTTGGTTTTTTTTTTGAGTTGGAGTCTCACTCTGTCACCCAGACTGGAGTGTAGTGCCCGTTCCCAGCCACCGCAGCCTCAACCTGCTGGACTCCGGCGATCCTTCCGCCTCAGCCTTCCAAGTAGCCGGAACTACAGGCGCAGGCTACCACGCCTGGCTAATTTTTGATTTATTGTAGAGATGAGGTCTCGCCAAGTTGCCCAGGTGGGTCGCGAACATCAATGCTTCTTATCATCTGCCTTTTTATTCTAGACATCCTAGTGGTTGGGAAGTGACATCTTGAGGTTTTGATTTCTACTCCCCGATGACCACTGATGCTGGACATCTTTTCATGTGCTTACTAGCCGTTTGTATATCTCTGAAGAAATGTCTGTCTATTCAGACCTTTTGCTTATTTTAAAACTGGATTTTGTCTTCCACTACTGACTTGTAACAGGTCTTTATATATTCTGGACACCAGTCCCTTATCAGATGGATGATATAAAAATATTTTCTCCCATTCTGTGGGTTGTCTTTTTGTGTTAATGGTCCCTTAAAGCACAAAAGTTTGCAATTTTTTATTTTTAAATTTTATTTTGGAAGCAGTCTCATTATGTTGCCCAGGCTGGATTCAGACTCTCAGGCTCAAGTGATACTTCTGCCTCAGCCGCCCGAGTTAGCTGGGGCCTACAGGCACTTGCCACTATGCCTGGCAAAAAGTTTGCAATTTTTATGAATTCCCATTTAGCTATTTTGTGGTGGTTCTTCCTTGTGTATTTAGTGTCATGATCAAGAAACTACTGCCTAACAAAGTCAGCGAAATGTATGCCTATGTTTTCTTCTAGGAGTTTTACAGGCTTTGCCATCACATTTAGGTCTTTGAGACGGATTTGACTTCATTCTTTTCTATGTGGATATCCAATTGTCCTAGCACCATTTGTTGAAAAGACTTCCTTCCCCACTGAATTTTCTTGGTACTTGTGTCAGGAATCAACTGATCGAAACGTGAGGATTTATTTCTGGACCTTCAATTCTATTTTGTGGATCTCCATGTCTATTTACATGCCAGTCATCACTGTCTTGAATGCCATATTTTTGTAGTAAGTTTGGAAGTCAGGAAGTATGAGTTCTCCAACTTGGTTGTTTTCTAAGATTGTTCTGGCTATTCTGGGTCCCTTAAAATTTCTACGAAAATTTTAGAATCAGCTTGTCATTTTCCACAAAGAAGACAGTTGGGATTTTGGTAGGGATTGTGCTGAATCTGGAGATTAATGGAGGAGTATTGCCAACTTAACAATATTAAGTCTTCCAATCAATAAACATGAGACATCTTTATATTTGTTTAGGTCTTCTTTTATTTCCTTCAACAATGTTTTGTAGTTTTCCAAGTGGAATTTTTGTACTTCTTTTGTAAAAATAAATTTTTTTTAGTCATTCCACTGTAGAGATTGTTTCCTTAATTTCCTCTCTGGGTTGTTCATTGCAAGGGTATAAAAATATAACTAATTTTTGTATACTAATCTTGTATCCTGCAACTTCATTGAACTCGTTTATTAATTCTAATACAAGTGGAGTATCCTTAATCTGAAAACGTGGAATCTGAAACTTTTGCATGCTGACATAACACCCAAGAAAAGTGATCCCTGGAGCATTCTGGATTTTCAGATTAAGGATGCTGAGCTGATAACTACAGCTGACCCTCAAACATGGGCTTGAACTGCTCGGGCCCACTTCTATGTGCATTTTCCTCTGCCTCTGCCATACCTGAGACAGCAAGACCAACCCCTCGTCTTCCTCGTCGTCTACTCAGTGTGAAGACCACAAGGATGAAGACCTCTGTGAAGACCCACTACCACTTAAGGAGTCACAAATATATTTTCTCTTATGATTTTCTTAGTAACATTGTATTTTCTCTAGCTTTATTGTGAGAATACAGTATACAATATGTATAATATACAAAATGTGTGTGTGTGTGTGTGTGTGTGTGTGTGTGTTTTATAAAGATGGTTTACAGTGTTAAGATAGGACAGTATTAAGCTGTCCTATCTTTTGTTGAAAGTGAAGGACTGACGTCTCCAAATTATTGCTCAATTGTCTGTTTTTCCCCTTCAGTTTCGGCAGTCCGGCTCCACGTACTTGAGGCTCTGATGCTAGATGAGGTGACTGCATTTCATCTAAGATGAAGCACTGCCTGGCGCCCTCCAGTTTTCTTCATCATTGGCTCTTCGGGTACCATTCTTGCCCAGTCACGTTCAAGGTGATGCTCTCATCGCCACGTTCTGGATTTTCCCAACCTATCTTTCTGTTTCTACATGCTTGGTAAAGCACAGCCCTCATAACAGCCCTTTTCTAGTCTGTTGTGGATCTCCAGCAATGAAGCTACTCATCAAAACCTCTTTGCACTATGCTGCACCCAAGGAGGCCAACAGCATCTGATGAAAAACTTAAGAGACATCTTGTCTACGGATCAGAACCAACACCACCAACGTGGTCACCACATTTCTCAATTCCTCAAGTTCCCGCCAAAAACTAAGGAGTGGGACAGGACAAAGGTGCATGCTGACAGCAACCTCAGCAGTGAGCCGGAGAGGACAGTCACACAGAGGACAGCCCATTCAGCCTTGAGTTCTTTCCTATGTTTATCCCAAGCAGGAATTCTGTCTAGTTTTCTACTTGATCTGATAGGGCAAGATTAAGGGTTGCCTGAGTCCAATGAATAGTATAAACTCCAACAGGCAAGAAGGAAACCAGTCAGAACTGGTGCAATCTATCTGAAACTGTAGGAAACTCCAGGCCAATCCAACCACTGGGAATAAGGCCAATTCCAATACGAACTAAGGGTATTCAACAGTGGCTGGGATTAATGCTAGAAAAAGCAGAACTGAAAAAGCTGTCTTCCTCAACATGGGCGCATGCTTTTGGACAACCTATTGGGTGCAGCCTGCCTAGTCAGGCATACACTTACTCTTAGAGGGACTATGAAATATGCACCAAACCTACAATCTCCTGAGCTGTCAAAAAGCAGCCTCATTCCCACCAAGAGACATAGGGTAAAAAAGCAACTTGTCAGCAATGCTTCACTGTCAGGATAAACAACTGCTTACCCTGTATACGTAAGAATAAACAGCTATGATTTGTGAAGCTGCCCTAAAGCAGTCGGTTTTATCTATTCTCCTGGCTACTTACATAAATCAGGGTTGACTTTATTATCATATTCCTTCAAGAAACATTTATGGAAGTCAGCAAAGAAGTACATACTTACATCTATAAGAGATACAGTTTAAACCTTTTAAGAAATTCAACAGCAGTATTTTTAAAAATTTTTATGAAACAGATCAACCATTCAGGTATAAATTCTACAAAATATAATGAAAGTTATGAATAGCAAGGCATGATTAAGAGAATTATATTAAGCATTAAACTTAAGTTTTACATACTGTTTGATGAGACATAACTTTGAGAGTACAAAAACTATACTGTTAGCTATGAAAATGTAAAAAATCGTTTCAGAGACAAAAAGAAAACAGAACACACATTACAAGCTGAAAGAATCACTGCCCCACACCACAATCAAAACAGTGACAGTTGAAGCGTGTACATACATCTGCTCGACCTCCTCTCGACTGCGCTTTTGCCAGCCTTCAGGGTGTCCTTCCCCGTGTGCTGTAATTTGGATTGATTCTGCTGATGGTCATTAGACAACTTGCCTCCATTTCTCCTGCCATTCACCACCATGTTCTTGGATTCTCCCAACCACTTCATACCCACAGACAGCCTGACCCAGGTGCATTTAGTCACTCTCTTCAAATAGCTTAGAGAATAATTTCAATGTTCTCTCCTAACAGAAACAAAATATGAAAAACAAAACAAAATGGGGAGGTAAATACACGAGAGACCATGCTAAACAGACCCTTGAGAAAGATACACAATATTAAGTACAGTCATGTGCCGCATAACCAGGTTTCGGTCGACAACGGACCTCGTGCGTAGGGTGGTGCCATGAGATTAAACGGAGCTGCGAGTCCTGCTTAGTATGCACGAATCACGCTTCCTATGGTCGTTTTCGAGGACATGCCTTCAACCTAATGAAACGGTCCCAGGCAGGCCCTTCAGGAGGGGCGTGTTCCAGAAGGCACTGCTATCACAGGAGATGACAGCTCCACAGAGGTTATGCCCCTGAAGATACTCCGGCTGGACAAGACGTAGAAGCGGAAGACGGTGACAGTGACGATCCTGACCCGGTGTAGGCCAAGGCGAATGTGTGTAGCTGGGCCTTATTTTCAACAAAAAAGAGGTGGAAGGATCGCCGGAGCCCAGCAGGTCGAGGCTGCGGTGGCCGGGAGCGGCCACTGCACTCCAGCCTGGGCGACAGAGTGAGACTCCAACTCAAAAAAAAAAAAAAAATTTAACTAGATAAAAGCTTATAGAAAAAGCTATAAAGAATATATTTTTGTAAAGTTGTACAATATGCTTAAGCGCTATTACAAGAGAGCCAAAAATTTTAAAAAGTTAAAGCTTATAAAGTAAAAAAGGTTAGAGTAAGCTCAAGTTAATTAATGAAGAAAGAAAATATTTTAAAATAAATTTAGTGGCCGGCATGGTGGCTCATGCCTATAATCCCAGCACTTTGAGAGGCCGAGGTGGGCGGGTCATTTGAGCCAGGAGTGGGAGACCAGCCTGAGCAACATACTGAAACCTCGTCTCTGCACAAGATAAGAAAACTGACCAGGCGTGGTGGTGTGTGCCTGTAGCCCCAGCTACTCGGGATGCCGAGGTGGAAGGATCGCCTGAGCCCAGGAGGTCAGTGCTGTGGTGAGCCACGATCATGCCACTGCACTCCTGCCTGGGCTATGGAGCGGGACTCTTGGTTCAAAATAAGTAAATAAAATTCAGTGTAGCCTGAGGGTACCGTGTCTACAGTCATGTCCAGCAATGTCCTAGACCTCCACATGCACTTCCCACACACTCACAACGTCCACTCCTAGGTGCACCATTTTTGATCTCATGTTCAGTGTTTTTACTGTACCTTTTCTATGTTTAGACGTGTTCACACACACGACTTACCATTGTGTTACAAATGCTTGTAGCGGCCTAGGGCAACACGCACGGTGTGTGTGGCAGGCTGCACCGCTAGGTTTGCCTGTGTAAGTGCCCTCCGTTAAGCACACATGACGACAAAATCGCCTCATGTCGCATTTCACAGAACACATCCTTGCTGCTAAGCGATGCGTGTCTGTAATTTAGGAATGGGTGTCTCCACTCCTTAAAGACAATCTGGGCTCTCCCCCGCCAGATGATGCATGCTCAGGACCGCAGTGCCTGCAGACCGGCCAGAATGCTGACCACGCGAGGCGCGGACTCACGCGGACCTGCTCGTTGCGGGTGCTCAACGAGCATCTATCTTTCAATCACCAGAAAGAATCATCTCTGCTCCGTAAAATGCTGGCATCTAGCTGTCACTCCAGAATCTGCTCCAACTACATATGGTGGTCATGTTCTATGAACTCTGTGAGTTAACTACAAGGAAGTTACTCATCTCCTTTGTCCCAAGGAGACAAGGAAACTTAAGAAAAGACATCTATGCTAAGCTTTACCCACCACAGCAACTGCTGTGCTAGCTGCTCCTTACTTGTGGCACAAAGAAACCTACAAACAAAATGTAACGGACAAGAAAGAATAAGGAAAAAAAGGACTTCACATCTTTTTGTTGCTGTTAGTTTGAACTCACTGTTCAAGAATTTAAGGGAGGCATATTCAAGTATGAAAGCTCTGACCACCCGGAAACATTGCCATATCACTCCTTTGATTCCAATGGCAACAAAATTGAGGGGTTACTTGGTAATATGGAGGTATCCCTCACTATCTGAATTTTATTTAACTGAATTTGGGAACTCAATCATTTCAGTGGGGGATACTTGTAACTTACAAGGATTTCTAGAAATGACAGTATTACAGATTACATTTGTTGCTAATGGAATGGGAAAAAGAATGTCGATGATACCACCTTATTACTGAATTATGCTTTCGTATACATCAGACTAAAAAGGCCCTGAGAAAGCACAAAAATACAGAACTTCAGAGCCAAAGGGACTTTTGGATCACTAGTACAAATCCTCCCATGAGCTTATGAAATGGAGGCCGCAAGCCCAGTGACACACAGCCAGCCAGCAGCAGGCTCACAGGTGGAACACAGCACCGCTGTCCAAGGTCTGGCAACTGACCAGACAAGGGTGGGTTGCCTTTCCTTTTCACAAACATACCGAAAATTACAAATGACAGATTACTCTGGAGTACTCAGAAATGCATGCTGGCCATACGCAGTGCCTCAAGCCTGTAATCCCAGCACTTTGGGAGGCCGAAGTGAGGGGACTGCCTGAGCCCACGGGTTCGAGACCAGTCTGGACAACTTGGTGAGACTTCATCTCTACAATAAATCAAAAAATTAGCCGGGTATGATAGCACGCGCCTGTATTTCCGGCTACTTTCCAAGTGGAAGTGGCAGAGGTGGAAGGATCACCGGAGCTCAGCAGGTCAAGGCTGCGGTGGCCATGAGTGTGCCACTGCACTCCAGCCTGGGCAAGAGTGAGACTCCAACTCAAATGAAAAGAAATGCATGCCTAGCCAAGCCTTTAATGATACCCAACACAATCACAAAACGTTAAGTTTTTCATAACCTCAGGTCTCTTTCACGTCACAGGTTTATTTGTGTGAGTTCAAGGTAGAGTTTAAGACATGTGTGAGCCGAGCTCGGTAGTTCAGCCTGTAATCCCGTGCTTTTGGAGGCTGAGGTGAGTGGATTGCCTGAGCCTACGGGTTCGAGACTGGCCTGGGCAACGTGGCGAGACCTCATCTCTACAATAAATCAAAAAAATCAGCCAGGCGTGGTAGCGCGTGCCTGTAGTTCCAGCTACTCGGAAGGCTGAGGTGGAAGGATCGCCGGAGCCCAGCAGGTCGAGGCTGTGGTGGCCGGGAGCATGCCACTGCCCTCCAGTCTGGGCGACAGAGTGAGACTCCAACCCAAAAAAAAAAAAAATAAAAGACACACGCGTGAGTGGAAAGCTGAGGGGAAAGGTAAAAGCCTCTGGCTGATGCCCAGGATACCTTTACAACTGCTCTCTGATGCCTATTCCTCCTGGTGCCTTCACTGCTTAACTTCAGGTCGCTTTCAACTTGAGCACACCGGTCTTCTGAGTCTTCCTGGGGTTGGACCACACCCAGGGCAGTGCTGCTGCGTCGGCAGGAAAGGGCCAGGAAACCAGGATGCATCCGTTACAAGCTAAGGATGCCTCAGGGATTAAAAGACATCAAGTTCAACCGAAGACCCGTTATGCTCATCAAATACCCTGCTTACACCTGGGAGAAGAGGCACAGAGCTCAAGGGCAGGACACTTCTGGGCAGGGGACCCATGAAGCTTGGACAAAGGGCAACGTGCCGTGGCCTCTCGCACCTTCTGGCTGCCTGGAGGACCAGCCCCTCATCTTTTCGTCGCTAATTCCTCTGAGTCCCAATCACATCCTCTAGGAAGGCTTCCTGAACCCTCACTGGCAAACCCCATGCAGATTTCTACCTCAGAGCTTAGGTGAAAGCCCGTCCTCAATTAACTGAGGGGCTCCAGGTCAGAGTGTTTTCTTCTCTCTGACCCCAGGATCTAGGGCACAGTAGACTAAGGCACTCAACTGACAAAGGAATAAATAAATGGGGCTGTGGTCTAAAGCACGTCACAGGAACTGCGTCTCTACATTTTTTTTTGAGTTGGGAGTCTCCTCTTGTCACCCAGGCTGAAGTGCAGTGGCATGCTCACGGCCACAGCATTGACCTGCTGGGCTCCGGCGATCCTTCCGCCTCAGCCTTCCAAGTAGCTGGAACTACAGACCCATGCCACCACACCCGGCTAGTTTTTGTGATATATTGTAGAGTCGAAGTCTCACCAAGTTGCACAATCTGGTCTCGAACCCTCAGGGCTCAGGCAATCCTCTTGCTTCGGCCCCACAAAGTGCTGGGATTCCAGGCTGAGCCACTGCGCCCAGCCTACAACTTTTTAAAACTTGAAAATGAAGTGACTGCCTGCCCCCTCCAAATCCTCTTTCTCCAGTCGTACCTGGTGCTAAAGACAGCGTGAGAAGCTCCATGCATGTACCGGGACAAACACGGCAGTAGCTACGGCTGCGTCCACCACTCACCTCCCTGTCACCTGCTGGCAGGCTTTCGGGCTTAGCCCTAGTTCTTCGCCTCCAGAGAAGAAGAACAAAAAGTGCTGTGGCCCTTCGAAAACCCACCCATCGATGTCTACGCTAACACGCAACCTACGGATAATGACCACAGAACGTGGATTTCAGTTTCTTGAGCGGCCTGACAGTCCTCCTGATGAGATATCAAGTGTGCCCACATCTTTAAAAGAAAAAAAAAAAACAGAGAAAAAAGATATCGAGTGTAACTAAGTGGAACCAAAAAGAAACATACGGACTAGAAAGACTCTCCACAGAGAACCCTTCCATCCCAACCAAGATTCCCACTCGAAATAAAAAGCAGAGACTGGGGCGCAACCCAGCAGTCCCCACCTTTCTGGCACCAGGGCCGGCTTGTGGAAGACAATTTTCCACAGGCGGGGGGGGGATGGGGGCATCGGGCTTTATTCTCATCCAGAGTGTGCAACTGAGATCCTTCGCATGAGCAGTTCACAATCGGGTTTGCGCGCCCATGAGAGTCTAAGGCCGCAGCTGATCTGACATGAGGCGGAGCTCTGCTCACCTCCGCCTACCTCCTGCTGTGTGGCCTGGTTCCTGACAGGTCACAGCCTGGTACGTGGCTTGATACACAGCCCAGAGGTTGGGGGCCCCTGTTGTAAAAGACCACCCGGTGACGCAAGTTCCAGTGTGAGAACTATTGCCAACATTTTCTTAAAAA